CCGCCGGTGAGCCCCATTAGGCCACCGTGCAGGTCGCCCGCCGCGCCGCGCCACGCCACATTGGATCAGGGCCGACATCTCCCTCCGTTTTAGTGGGATAAGGCTTCCGACGGGGCGAGGCGGGGCGGGGCAGGACGGGGCGGGCAGGGATTGCGAGAAGACGGAGCGACTCATGTCAGCGAAGTTGGAGCGAGCGAAGCCCCCTCCCCTCTCTCCTACCCCCTTCTATACCGCACCTCCCTTCTGCTCACTTCTCCTTTTCCTCCCCCGGAACCCAAATCCTGCGTCGCTTTCGGCCCCCTGTGCCCGCCGCTGCCGCCGCCCCTACCGCGCCTCCCCAACCCCCTCTTCCCCTCCCCTGCACCGGCCGCCTGCCAGACCCCCGGCCCGCCCCCGTCCAGCCAACAAGTTATTGCCGCTATCGAATAAAATGACGGTAATGGCGTGATATATTTTGGACGCCTTTCGCGATCGCTTCACTTTTGATATGTGATATGAGAAAATTGGCGTGTCCCCGCCTAGTGGGGCGACAGGGCCCTGGGTAGCCCTCGCCATAGTCGGGGTGGTCGCAGGCCCTGCGCAGGCCGGGGCAGGTGCAGGTACCACGCACGCTTCGCATGCCCCGCCTGCCTCTCACAGACGTGAAACGAGCTCACAGAGTTCTGCTCCAAAGTTCTCGGTCTCGCGACGGATGGGTTTGCTCATCGTGTATGACCGTGCTAGCGAGTAGGCCAACCGCTCGCGTACGTGAGTTGCGGTAGTCTAACTGCGGAGGTGGTAGGTGGCTGGGGCGGGCCAACAACTACCGAACGTTGGTGAATGTGCATGCCTGGAAGCATATTGTTGAAACAGTGTCCTGGGCAGGCATGGTGCTAAAACACCATGCCTGGTTGGCATAAGGCATGCTGTTCTATCAGCGTGCCAACTCAAGCGCACTGTTTAAACAAATAACAACGTGCTTGCCCACCCAAGCACACTGTTAAAACAATACTAGGCTTTCAGGCATGCTGATTAAACAGAGTGCGAAGAACACTGTCGGATTTTCTGCGTGCACTTTTTAGCAGCAAGGGCGGGCAGACGGAGATCTTCTAAAAAGAATGAGCGAAATTCCCCACAAATTAATTTTGAGACTTCCTCAAAATCTAGGGAGTTTTCCCTCAACTACGGTATACTTCCTCAAACTTTTCCCTTTTCTCTCTCAAAAAGTCAGACCTAGACATTGTTTTTCCCGTGTTAGGGCGCCGATCATGGATGCGCCGCTGATGCAGCTGACCCACGACACCTGCCACCTGCCGTATCGTGGGGAAGCCATCATCAGGTGAATGCAAAACGCTTC